GCCGGAGACTAAAGAAAACAATAATTTAGAAAAAAAATGTTTAATAAAATCTTAGATAATACATATGTATAATATATTATATTATTATACAATTTTTCACAATTACTTGTTTATCACACCATAAATTTTAACATTGTTTCCATCTCAGCGATAATACTGTGATGTTTATGAATGATGCTTGAATTTAAAGATTGAGCATTTTTCACAGCGTCGAGAATTTTTTCTTTACCTTTTATAATTGTTCTGACCGTCGATTCCGATAGATCAAACTTCTTTGCCAATTCACAAATTTTCATTTTTGTATCGAAGTCTTTAATAATGTTAACTTTACATTCCAAAGATAAAGTTTTTCTTTCCTTGTTTGATGCAGAAGAATCAGTTCTACTTCGTTTGGATGACATAGTAGAGTCTGTCAAGTTTCCATAGATAAAACAAACACGGAAATAAATAACACAAAATAAATTGTAGCTATGCGTTGATTCCGAGCGACATTTCCGAACATGTAAGCTGAACAATAATGTGAGGGGAGCGAGTAATCAAGAGTTGCGTGGCGCTCAAACAAAAGACAAATCAGCGAGATTTGAAAATCGCGTAACTCCAGGTTCGCGTAAGTTAGGGTAGCGTAAGTCGAGGTATTACTGTATTATATATAGTGGATTAATACAATACAATTTATGTACAGTGAAACCTTGCTTAATGAGCATAATTTGTTTCAGAATCTTATTCGTAATGCAAAACACTCGTTAAGCAAAACAGTTTTTCTCCAGAACAGTAATAGAAATTAATGTAAAATGCGTTCCATGCCAAAAAAGATTCTTAAATATTTTATGTATAACGTTTATTCAAAGAAAATTATACAATATACATCGTTAAGAAGCACGAATCATTTTCATCTTTTCTTCTAGCACGGAATGAGCCAACCTGGAATATGAATTTGATTTGCAGAAAACAAAAAAATCACAGATGAAGGTCCATAATTCCGATGAAGGTGCCAAATTCTTGGGCTATGTAAAAGCTATAATTAAATAACAGGCTATGATTGTTGATATTTATATGTAATATGTGTGAACACAAGTTTGGAAAAATGTGTGATCATGAGCGACACTAAGATGCTAAACACAGACTGATGGAGCATGTGCACAATCCAGGATTTCCCCTCTTTTTGTCACTTGTTATGCAAAACATCACTTGTTAAGCAAGTCAAATTTTTATGATTTGTTTTGCTCATTATGAGAAAAACTCATTATGCAAGGTGCTCGTTAAATGACGTTCCACTGTATAATCATTGCTAACTTTCCTTCTAAGCTTCAGTGCTGATTAAATTTGCAAAAGAACTGTTTCTGATCATAATATAAATCTGAAAAATTTTAATTGTTACAATTGAAATAAAAATATACATTGCCAAAATGTTAGTGAAGTATTGATCAAAAACTATATCAGCATTGGAAATATATGTGTAAAAACTTTCTTTTCTCTGTAAACTTTCAGGTGAGTTTGAGAATTTCAAAACATCACATCTAACATTTAAAAGTTTCACTTGATGGTGACTTTATTTGCTTAATTTACTTTTACATATGCCTTTTGAAATGATGTATACTTTTCATTCCCTCCTCAGTGATGTTAAAAAGTAATAGTTCCAAACAATTTTTAAAATTTGTACACTTCCAGATTGTATACTTTAAAAAAGTAATTAAAAATGACTCATTTTTCCATAATGTTAAATATACTAATTAACAATTATTTCATACTATATACTGTTTTTAGTTTGTAGTATGTATATAAATATATAAAAACTATATATCATCCTCATAGATAAAAACTATATATATCATTCCTATCACATCCATGTATTATATATAGTGGATTAATACAATACAATTTATGTACAGTGAAACCTTGCTTAATGAGCATAATTTGTTTCAGAATCTTATTCGTAATGCAAAACACTCGTTAAGCAAAACAGTTTTTCTCCAGAACAGTAATAGAAATTAATGTAAAATGCGTTCCATGCCAAAAAAGATTCTTAAATATTTTATGTATAACGTTTATTCAAAGAAAATTATACAATATACATCGTTAAGAAGCACGAATCATTTTCATCTTTTCTTCTAGCACGGAATGAGCCAACCTGGAATATGAATTTGATTTGCAGAAAACAAAAAAATCACAGATGAAGGTCCATAATTCCGATGAAGGTGCCAAATTCTTGGGCTATGTAAAAGCTATAATTAAATAACAGGCTATGATTGTTGATATTTATATGTAATATGTGTGAACACAAGTTTGGAAAAATGTGTGATCATGAGCGACACTAAGATGCTAAACACAGACTGATGGAGCATGTGCACAATCCAGGATTTCCCCTCTTTTTGTCACTTGTTATGCAAAACATCACTTGTTAAGCAAGTCAAATTTTTATGATTTGTTTTGCTCATTATGAGAAAAACTCATTATGCAAGGTGCTCGTTAAATGACGTTCCACTGTATAATCATTGCTAACTTTCCTTCTAAGCTTCAGTGCTGATTAAATTTGCAAAAGAACTGTTTCTGATCATAATATAAATCTGAAAAATTTTAATTGTTACAATTGAAATAAAAATATACATTGCCAAAATGTTAGTGAAGTATTGATCAAAAACTATATCAGCATTGGAAATATATGTGTAAAAACTTTCTTTTCTCTGTAAACTTTCAGGTGAGTTTGAGAATTTCAAAACATCACATCTAACATTTAAAAGTTTCACTTGATGGTGACTTTATTTGCTTAATTTACTTTTACATATGCCTTTTGAAATGATGTATACTTTTCATTCCCTCCTCAGTGATGTTAAAAAGTAATAGTTCCAAACAATTTTTAAAATTTGTACACTTCCAGATTGTATACTTTAAAAAAGTAATTAAAAATGACTCATTTTTCCATAATGTTAAATATACTAATTAACAATTATTTCATACTATATACTGTTTTTAGTTTGTAGTATGTATATAAATATATAAAAACTATATATCATCCTCATAGATAAAAACTATATATATCATTCCTATAACATCTAACATCACATCCAAAGGATGTGATGTTAGATGTTATAGGAAATGAGCTCAAAAAATTTCATGACAGTAAAGTATTAATGTACTGTACAATCTTTAGTAACTTACTGACTGCAGTAATATAATGCACAGTATTGCAGAGACTTCTGCATATTGAAACATCAATATCCAGAAGTTTTCCTAGTTTATTTCAATAAATATTAAAAATATGGATATCAAATTAATTTTAAATGTTTTTATTTCATTTTTAATATAGCTAAAAATTTTGATTTTCTCTTAGGAAAATAAGAAACGTCCATATAAAATATGGAGTGGAGATAGACAAAAACGAAAATCTGTTATGGCCGCCTCACTTAAAGAATTAAAAGAAAAAGGTAATATTAATTAGAATTATTTTTATGCAATATATATAAAAATAAAAGTAATCTTTTCTAATGAAATTTATTCACTTTTAGGAGGTGATAAATTAGGTTACAGTACTTGGTCTGATTTGAAAGTAGTAATAGAAAGTGATGGCACAGAAGTGGAAGATGACAACTACCTTCACGTTGTAGAACGTGACACAGTATTACAACTGCTCTGTCCGGNAGTGATTAGTATAATGTTATTTGTTTAATTATTGTACGATATAACGAATAAAGTATCTAATTATTCTTAATATAATGTTTTACTATATCACCCAGAAAATTGTTTTTCGCCCCCAAAATATAAATTGTTACTAATCGCCCCCTGAACATGGAAAAACGCCCACATGGGGGCGATATCGCCCCCGTTGAGAAACACTGGTTTAATCTTTCGTCATAAGTAAGTAATCATTCGTAAAAATTACAAACGAAATACAGTGGTATCTTAGTACTCAAACTATTCCCAACTCTAACAATTCAGTATTCAAACACAAATTCTGGAAAAAAATTGTTTGTTACTCAACTGAACAAATGAGGGGCCCCTAGAACAAATTTTCGATTAATAACAGTTTTATTTTGTCATCCATAAATATTTTTTTTTATAAAAATAAGAAAAATGAAGACATTGCTGATATTTCTGACCAAGATCAACAAAAAAGCTCAGATGATGATGATACTATTTAAAAATAAAATATTCTCATTTAAATAAAATTAGTACTAATGCATAATACAGTGCTTGTAGCATAGCCAGCAATTGGTTCAGATTTTGCATGGAAAATTTTGACCTCAAATATCTCCTCCCATAATTATAAGTTCAAAATTCTGCTTCATCATTCATCAGTCTTTCCAAGTTATACATACAATCTGTTCTGGAATGATAGTGATACTGTGAAATAATGATATTGATAAAGAAATAATAAGCACATTACAAAACAATAGGAGGGAATTGACTATTGATTTATTATGATATTGTATAATAATTTTATCAAAAAAGACTAATAAAATAAAAATATAAATGATTTTAACAATGTTATATAGGATATACTTGTCCCAAAATGATAGAGCCACTTCATCATTTAAATAATAATTGATTTTATTTATTATTAAGCAATATACCCACTTTATTAATTACTAGCAGACTCCTCCACATGTTGTTGTGGCTCAAAATGTATCTATTATAAATGTATAACGCTTCCCTTGTGGTGGGATTTTTCGAAAAATCTCTTCTTAGTGTACATTCTCTTGATGTACCGTATTAAAACACAAAAAACCTCCAGTGGGGAGAATTTCAACATGTATATTATATAAAAACTTGTGCGTATTTGAATGCAACGTTGTGTCAAAATTTCAAAGGAATCGATGGGAACAAACGAACATTACATTTTTATTTATATAGATAGATGATCTGCTTTAGTTTATCCTCACAGAAAAGCAAACTTAGGTCATCGTACTCGTGGAGTTAGCACAGTCTGTTGGACATAAAAGCCTTAACCCTAGATGATATCTTTTAATTTATATGAATGTTTAACAGAATAATATATAACCTATGTCCACCCTGAAGTTCCATTCTAAATATTGGTGAAAGAATTTTTGAAATCAGATGAGTAGTTTCGGAGATTACCTCCTACATCCAAAGTTACAAACTTTACCTCTTTATAATATTAGTATATTATTTCATAAACTGTATCTGGCATTGTTTTAATAATGTTTTTCCTTTTCTCATCTGTTATTTCATGCCAAACATCAGTTATGGCTTTTTTTTTATTCCACTGAAGTATATTGCTTTCCATTCCTATATACTTTCTTATTATTGGATAACAAACATGTTTTAATATGATTACGATCAGGAGAACATGAGGTCAGTCCATAATATGCATATCATTTGTCCAAAATCAGTCACAAGTTGATTTTGCATTATAAGTGAATGGAAAATTATTGAAAAATTGGAAAAATTTTTTTCCGGTATTTTTCTGCAAATGACATTAGGTCCAAATCTAGTACTTGCTGATTAATACAGCCAGAGATAAAAGCTAGATTTGTCATACTACCCCATCCAAAAGCATTCCACACCATAACACTTTCAGCACCTTGCTGCTGTCTTGAGTGAATTAATTCATTTTTTTCCTAATATCATGTCAGTAGCTTCTCCAGTTATTTGGCCTAACCATTTTGAATTTTTTCTCATTCCTCCATGTAGCATGTTGCCATTTATGGTACATGTCATGTGATATTTAGCCCTCACCAAAGGCTTTCCTTTGTAGTTCTTATTTACAGGCAGAATTTGTTTCATTTTCTTTTGGTTTTGACATTTAAGGCTAGATTAGATATAATTTACTTCAGATTCATTGTAGAATTGTTAAGTTTCCTTGCAAATTACTACTTTTGATGAGAATTCAGTACAGGGGTTCTTCCAGATGACATTTTTGTTCTCTACTAGAATCAAAGTAATTTGCCACAACATTATGAGAATGATTATTTTCTTCCCATGATGAAACGTTTAATTTACCATGTATTCCAAAAGTATATTTTATAGAAATCATTTGAAATCTACTATGTCCCATATTTTATACTATCCTGAGTGCTATATGCATATTAATTGAAATTAACTGCTGAAGTAGACATGACACATTTTGGAACATGTATATCCTATACAATATTATAAGATTTGCAAACTTTCACATTTAGTGGTCAAGCCGTTGCTTTATACTTGCAATCAGCAATTGGCCCACAGAGTTTACATGACAAAATTTGAGCTTGAATATCTCAGCTCGTAGATGGAATTTCAAAATTATGGTTTCATCATGACATTGGTCTTGTCAATTTGTACCTATTTGCAAAAAATCATGTTCAGTGATTGTGTGGTTGCTTTAAACTTCGATTACAGACGAAACACTTTCTGACTTACGAAGAACTTTGCTGAATAATTGATAAAGTAAATCTAAAATAGTATCTTTTTATGATCTCTTAAAACATTGAAGTGCCATATAAACGTTTTTTTAAGTACATAGTCAAAATTTCACAGTATGTATCAGTAATTGTGAATTTTGATTATATTAAATCTAGGCAAGTGTAATATATTAATACATGCACTAAAAATATGACAGATAAAACTGTGAAAGTATAATGATGAAAGATATTTTATGCACCTTAGTTATTAACTATTCTTACAATTAAATAAATATAAACAGGTTTTCATTAATGATATAATTAGGTTTTGATTATAGTGCCTTCTAATTAAATTTGGTTTAGTCTTTCTTTCTGATTAAAGTCATGCAAAAAATTGAGTCAAAGTCAATAGCATTTACTTTTACACTCTGAGCATAATATGAAATATAGGGCATGCCAAATATGTTTACTTTAGAAATCAAAGTATTTCTCTTGTGTTTACTTATGAATGCAGATATTGCTCTGAACATGCTTTGAAAATTTGAGCTTGGACTGTTTGAGGTGAGCATGTAAAGTTATTTTTATTTTGTGTGAGTATAACAAAATACTAATAAAGCATTTTGTTTGTTCAGAATTTTCAAATCTTGCATAATATTTTCCAAATATATTTGTTTTCCTGAAGCTAGGTAACAAATCCTGGATGAAATGAAAATTAGTATTGAGTTTTCTCATTATAATGGAATTTAGCCCTTTTGTTGTACTGTACATTTTAGTCTGCCATCTGATCATTTGCTGAGAAATGATTTGAACTGTTGTTGGGTTAATTGAAAATGTGTCTTAAGTTAATCAGAAGTTTTACTGGATTATATGTCCTCTATAAATATCTTGATTTTTTTGCAGTTTTCATTTGTTTTTTTTTTTTTTTTAATTTCAGCATCATTATTAATATTTGATGAATTGAGTAATACATTTTTAACTAAAGCAATGCCTATTATGATAATGTGCTTCTGAGACTCAACAGCAGCCAATTCATTAAATTTAACTTTTCGTTAAAATTGCATTATTGTTAAAAAAAGTTACTTTTTTTTTTATTGAAAGACTGGTTTTAAAATTATACATTTCTGAATCAATAGTTCATTTATCTTTTTTTAAGCAAAGTATAGTACTGTATTATATCAGAGAATGTTGTACAATAGACCCCCCTATAACGTGGTAGATACGTTCCACTTTATAAGAATTTCACGTTGTAGGAATCCTTAAATACATGAGCCAATCGCAGCCCGACATGTATGAAGTTTACGGACTACGGCTGTTTGAAAGGTTTTCTTCCATAAAATTAATCGATTCTAGACTAATTCGACTCAACATTTCCAAAACACGTATAATTTTTTGGGAATAATCCATATAAACTATGCTATAAACAAAAAAATTGTAGGATTGCTTACCGAGTGTGCATCATTCGACGTCGCCATTGCTTAAGCTTGATTTCAGATAAGTTATTTTTCTGCAAAAAATTTGTCGAACTTTGGAGACATCATTAATTAATAGAAATAATTTTTATGGCCATTGAATAAGAAATGTTTTTTTCACAAGAAATGTATAAAATTACAGTACTGTATTAGATTTACAGTACCTAATTTAGGCCTATATACTGTACAGATGATAGTAAACTCAACTTACTCGCCTAAACTCTCAGTAGCGTAGCGCTGGACGGCGGAATGTATATATATAATTATAATAAAGTTACAATAAATTAAGATAATATATAATTATATATACAGTACCTAATTTATATATAATTA